AAATACTGGCAACAGGATAGGAGGCAAGGTTTACAACAGCACTGCCAACAAGAAAGGGTGCTCGAACTACAGTGATGCTACCAAGAGGAGACTAGAAGATGGGTGGCCCGAAAGCATGAGCAGCGCACGGCGCCAAGTAATCCTAGCAAGTTCTCTGTGCAAGTTCCTCTTAGCAAGTTGTTGGCGCGAGTTCCTTTGAGCAAGTTCTCCAAGCAAGTTCTTGGCACAAATTGTCTGAGCAAGTTCTCTCAGCAAGTTTCTCTGAACAAGTTTCAATGAGCAAGTTGTCTGAGCAAGCTCTCTGCGCGCAGCGCTTGCCGCAACACACTGCAACTTCCTAGCGCAACTCACTACTGCAACTTGCTAGCGCCACTTGCTGGCGCTACTTGCTAGTGCCACTGGCTAGCGCTACTGGCTCGTGCATCTCGCTAGCGCTATCTTGCTCATGCTACTGGCTTGCGCCATTTTGCTAGTGCAATTTTGCCAGCGCAACTCGCTGGTGCTACTTGCTAACGCAACTTGCTTGCGCAACTTGCTGGTGTCATCCGCTGGAGGTCTTTCCTGCAGCGCCGCTTCATACGATTCTGGCTAAGACGGTGGCTGACCCGCACAAGCCCTCTGGCCACTTGGCTGGGCTCTGCTGATGCGCCACAAGGGTGCCACAAGGATGCAAACCAGTCAGTTACGGCCACTTGATTGGGCCCTGCTGATGCGCCAGAAGGACTTGACCAAGAAGCACGGCACTGGCTTCCAAAAAGCAGCTCAGTATCCCGAGCAAAGCAATCAGCCAAATGTCCCAGAACATTTGTTTGCCGAGAGCAGACACATTTAAGGCTCGACAGGGCTCTGCTGGTGCGCCAGAAGGATGCACACCTGCACTTGGCCAAGAAGTGCGGCACTCGCTTCCAAAAAGCAGCTCAGAATCTTAAGCAAAGCAATCAGGCAGATGCCACGGTATTTGTTTGCCGAGAACAACAGTACATATTTAAGGCTCGGCAGGGCTCTGCTGATGCGCCAGAGCGCAAACCTGCACTTGACGAACAAGCGCGGCGCTTTTCCAAAAAAGCAGCTCAGAATCCTGAGCAAAGTGATTGTTTATCGAGAACAAAATGGACACATTTTAGGCTCGACAGGGCTCTGCTGATGCGCCAGAAACCTGCGCTTGACTAAGAAGTGCGGCACTAGCTTCCAAAAAACACCTCAGAATTCTGAGCAAAGCTAATCAGGCAGATGTCACGGCATATTTGTTTGTAGAGAACAATATGCAGATTTACGGCTCGACAGCTCTGCTGATGCGCCACAAGGATGCAAACCTGCACTTGACTAAGAAGTGCTTCCAAAAAGCAGCTCAGAATCCTGAGCAAGGCAATCAGGCGGATGTCACGGTATTTGTTTATCAAGAACAAAAGTACATATGTTAAGGCTCGACAGGGCTCTGCTGATCCGCCACACAAGGATGCAAACTTGCACTTGGCCAAGAAGTGCGACGCTGGCTTTTAAAAAGCAGCTCAGAATCCTGAGCAAAGCAATCAGGCGGTTTTTTTGGTTACCGAGAACAAAATGGACACATTTAAGGCTCGACAGGGCTCTGCTGATGCGCCACAAGGATGCAAACCTGCGCTTGACCAAGAAGTGCGGCGCTGGCTTCCACAAAGCAACTAAGTATCAGCCGGATCTGATGCGCCACAAGGCTGCAATCCTGCACTTGGCCCAGCATTTAAGGCTTGACAGAGCTCAGCTGATGCGCCACAAGGATGCAAACTTGCACTTGACCAAGAGGCTTCCAAAAAGCAGCTCAGAATTCTGAGCAAAGCAATCAGGCAGATGTCACGGCATATTTGTTTGTAGAGAACAATATGCAGATTTAGGGCTCGACAGCTCTGCTGATGCGCCACAAGGATGCAAACCTGCACTTGACTAAGAAGTGCTTCCAAAAAGCAGCTCAGAATCCTGAGCAAAGCAATCAGGCGGATGTCACGGTATTTGTTTATCGAGAACAAAAGTACATATTTTAAGGCTCGACGACAGGGCTCTGCTGATGCGCCAGAGTGCAAACCTGCACTTGACGAACAAGTCCGCGGCGCTTCCAAAAAAGCAGCTCAGAATCCTGAGCAAAGTGATTGTTTATCGAGAACAAAATGGACAGATTTAAGGCTCGACAGGGCTCTGCTGATGCGCACAAGGATGCAAACCTGCGCTTGACCAAGAAGTGCGGCGCTGGCTTCCACAAAGCAACTCAGTATCAGCCGGATCTGATGCGCCACAAGGCTGCAAACCTGCACTTGACAAGCATTTAAGGCTTGACAGAGCTCAGCTGATGCGCCACAAGGATGCAAACTACTGGCTTCCAAAAAGCAGCTCAGTATCAGCCGTATTTGTCTATTGAAACCAGTCTACATATTTAAGGCTCGACAGGGCTCGAAAGGCTCGACAGGGCCCTGCTGGTGCGCCACAAGGATGCAAACCTGCACTTGACCAAGAAGTGTGGCACTGGCTTCTAAACAGCGGCTCAGTTTCCTGAGCAAAGCAATCAGCCGGATGTCACGATTTGTTTGTTTAACGACAAAAAATTAAGGCTCCACATTGCTTGTTTCTAGCTCCAACGATGCTCCACCAGGATGCAAACCTGCGCTTGGCCAAGAGAGAGCCACATCCTTTGCACGCAGGTTAGCAGCAAAATCTGCCACATGCCCTTTCACATTGTTGCAAGTGGTTCCTGCTGACTTGGCGAATCTATGTTTCTAGCTTGATGCTTCTCAATTGCGCTTGCGAGCTGCTGCCACGTGAGCAGAAGGGAGCCGAAGGGAGCCGAACGCCGGTTACTGGATGCCAAGCAAGCCAGGTCAGCCTCAAAACTGGGTAAGAAGATAGGGGGCAGAGACTGGGAGACACAGGGAGACAAGTCACAGCTGACCGCAGAGACTGGGCAAGACAGCCGGAAGACACAACCCCGGAGCCAGCATCACAGCGTCCGCAAAGACTGGGAGACACAACCCAGCATCTGGCATCCAGACACAGGGAGACAAGCGGGAGCGTCTCAGCATCCGGCATCCGACCGCAGAGGGACAAGCGGGAGACACAGAAAGACAAGCGGGAAACACCAGCGTCACAGCATCTGGCATTTGACCGCAGAGCACAGGGAGACAAGCGGGAAACACGTTTCGGGAGACACGCAGCTGGCGTCACCGCAGAGCCAGCGTCGCAGCATCTGGCATCCAGATACAGGGAGACAAGCGGGGGACACGACCTCGGAGCCAGCGTCACAGCATCTGGCAACTGGGAGACACGACCCCGGAGCCACATCACAAAAAACGGGGGAGACACAACCCCGCAGCAGCATCTGGAATAAAACAAGCGGGAGACACGACCGGGAGCCAGCGTCACAGCATCTGGCATCTGACCGCGGAGACAGGAGACGCAGGGAGACAAGCGGGAGACACGACCCGGAGCCAGCGCACAGCATCTGGCATCTGACCGCAGAGACTGGGAGACACGGGGAGACAAGCGGGACGGAGCCAGCATCCGACCGCAGAGACTGGGAGACACAGGGAGACAAGGAGGAGACACGATTTCGAAGCCAGCGTCACAACATCTGGCATCCGACCGCAGAGACTGGGAGACAAGCGGGAGACACGACCCCGGAGCCAGCGTCACAAAAAGCGGGAGATGGGAGACACAGGGAGACAAGCGGGAGACACAGCCAGTGTCAGACACAGCACCCGGAGCCAGCGTCACAGCATCTGGCATCTGACCGCAGAGACAGGGAGACACAGGGAGACAAGCGGGAGACACGACCCGGAGCCAGCGTCACAGCATCTGGCATCCAGACACAGCGGGAGACACGACCCCGGAGCCCGCGTCAGAGCACTGGGAGACAGGAAGACAAGCGGAAAACAGGACCCCGGAATCGGCGTCACACTTTCCTATTCTCTATACCTCAAGTTAGAACCCCAATGCTTCGCTGTTTGGGGAAAAAAGGAAATAGAAATAGATTGGAGTGATTCCCTTTGAATCCTTCAAACCTTTAAACCCAACGGGGGATTGAGTTTGAAGTGCGCATTTCTGAGTTTCGTGGTTTAAACATCACCTTTTTGTCATTTTTAAGGGGAGTTTTTGTGGGGTGGAGGCCAAATGGGACTGTGTTGTTTGAGAATGTTGGTGGACATGATGTGTGGTTTTATGTCCACCATTGGTTCCTTTTCGCAAGGGCGGGCTGCCCACACGAAGGAAATCTTTCACCCATGTTGGGTCCTATTTGAAGACACCAACACTTGAGCGTGCTTGCCTTGGAAGGGGAAACACCGAAGACGCAGCAAACCACCCGGGAGTGTCCACTAAGTTTGAGAAGCGCACGAAAAGGTCAAGTACTGATAGTATGTCAAAACCGGTCAGAACACCCTGGATGGTTGGTGTCACGGTGCTTCCCGATTGAAACCATCCCCAAAAGGGAAGCGGGGCTTGACAGGCAAAGGTTCACATCGCCTGATTGAACGTCCTTTGAAATTCTGAAGCTTATGAAAACCACTGTGCCATACTCTGGGCCGAATGGTTTGACCTGTCACATGGGTTGACAAAATGGGATTGTATTTTTTGAGGCTACCCTAAGAAGGGCTGGTTCTCTTTTGGTGGAACAATTCTTCAGTGTGGCACTTGCTTCCGACAGGTTTCTCTGAACTTAAGGCGAGCATCACCCGGGACAAGTCCAGGATGGTGGGGTTGTACTTGCAGGCTCCGGCCGGGCGGTCGGCGCCGGAGAGCCGGACGTTCCTCGCGCTTGGCGCGCGAGCCCAAAACGCCGTTCAGACAAAACATCCGACAAGAAGTGCTGATTCCCAAGTGCCCAGATTCCATTCTAAAAAGGCACATGTGTTGTGGATGCTCATGCCACAGGGTACCAACTGGACAACAGAAACAGGGAAAACAATCGAGATAGAGAGAAATGGAATCCCATTGGAATCCCCTGAGCAACAACTGGCAAACCAAACCAGGCAGTAGGAAGGTGGGAAGGAACAAGCCGAAGTGCAGCTTCCAATCAATCCAAGAGCAAAGAATCAAATCCACCACAAGCCAAAACATGACGAAACGTTTACACCATCAATCTGCACGACATGTGTTGTCTCTATTTGCCCCCCCCCATATATACAGGTATGTGTCAACATAGGCACCCCTCCAAAATGGCGACTTCCTTCAACTGCCACAAAGGGCGCCAAAGCCTTACAGAAAAAACATCCTCCTTTTGATCCACCTTTTGATCGGGAAAAAAAGAGAAGAAAAACAACTTGATCCACCTCCCTGTCCCGGCGACTCGACTCCACGACTTTCCGAGGCCGAGCCGAGCCGAGGATCTTCCGGAAGGAGTACTCGCAGAGCTCCACCAAGGAGTCCCCGGCTTGGCGCATGGGCTGCGAGCGCTGGGGCGCGGACGGCAGCTGGCGGCACTGGGCCATGGTGTCCACCCCGCCGTAGGTGCAGCCCCAGGAGCCTTTGCCTGAACGCCATGCTGAGATGGGGGAAGGATTGGGCCATACAGATCTATGTGCATCTATGTGTATATGTATTGTAATTTATAGAGATAAAACAAAGGCAGCATATACGCAGCATATATGCAGTAATATAGGATGTCAGTATGTTATGATAATGATAACAAATATCCCCATGGGGTTAGTGGGTGGTGGCTGGTGGCTGGTTGGTGGCTGGTTGGTGGCTGGTTGTTGGGTTGGCGGGTTGGCGGGTTGGTCGGTTCCCCCAGCAACTGTGCTTAAACACCTCTTGCTTGTTGGAGGAATATCGTGGGGGTGAACAAAATGGGACAGCCCCCTGAGCATCCAGGGTTTTGGGGAATCCTAGGTCGCAACTGTCCAGCGTAGGCATGTCAAAACCTTTGGACTTTATTTTCTACATAAAATGCATAATCTCTTAAATGATCAAAACCAAGTTCCGTATTTGTTCTATTTATTATATCATCTAGGTATGTGTTTGTTTTCTTTCTATAGGTGAAGCAAGACCCTGAGGCTTGACTCGACTTCGGCCCCCTGCACAAGGGCCGCAGGGGTTGCATGAGGCCTCCGGCGAACATGCTGCCGCTGCCGCCGGCACATTGGTTGAAGGCGCCCGTGCCACCCGCGCCGATCTGCAAATCGAACTGGTTGCCATGCACGTCCCATCCTGGCAAGGGAGCATCATGGCCATGGGTCAAAACCCAAAAATGGTAGCCCAAGAATCAACATCCCAATCCCCTCTAAAATAGGTGCTAAATGGGTGGTGCACCGAAAACCCAAAAATGGTACCGTTGGTTTTGAACCATGGCCACATCAAGAATCAAGTGCAACACTGGAAATACCCTGAATGGCGATTTGATGGAGGTTTCATAAGGAAGGCTGGGTGTCAGGGACACCAAGTCACGAGTTCCCTGCAAAATATGCATTCAATCCATGTCCGAAACGTGTTGACAAGTGGGAGCGCCTGTGTTGATGGACTGGGCGATGATGTCCTTGTCCACGCCTTCCACCTGAAGGCCGAAAGAGCAAACCCAGAGCACTCAAGCTGGGTTGTTCAAACTGGGGATCCCTATCCGTATTTCAGGAAACCAAAACCATCTGGTATAAGGATCTCGCAGATTGATTCTGAACAAACAAAAGTTCAAGCACTTGGTTGGGAGAGTCACAGGGCCATTTTTGGGGGGTCACGTGCGTTGCTCATTGCATGCCCATTTTTCATCCACTCGCGCCTTCATGCGGTAGCAGGCGCCGAGGCCTCGCTGGGGGTCCGAGGAGGTGCCATAGGTGCCTACACCGAAGTAGACCTCGGCCGGGCTGGGCTGGTGAAATCACTACAAAAGTCAGGCCCCAAAAAGACTATGGCGCTGAGGGGGGGTGTTGTATCCAAAAAAATCTGGGAGGGGGTCCTCGGGCTTCTGTTTCTCCTTCTTTCTTTTGCGAGGGGGGGAGGGGGGGGGCGCGCACTTTGATTTGCCAAGGATTGTTAAGTCAAAGGCTTGGAGGATGGCGTTGATGCAAGCTGAACAGCTCGTACTTTTTTTTTCCTGAAACGAAGGATGCCCACGATGATTGCCCTTGTACGACCAGCAAAACAGGAACCCCAAGATCCACCTGGTGGTGGTGGTGTATTGCGCTCCGCTTCCTTGACGGGCCTGATCGCCGAACCCAGGTCCAATTGCCCTTCGAAGTGTTCGTTGAATCTTTGCTTTGCTACTACCACCAACATCTGCGCCGACGCCATCCACATGTTGAGAGAGCATTGACTTGTTTCCGCCCTACGCACTGAGTGGGTCATACCTAAGCACTTACTTTTTCCGCCCTACTCCCATGCACCATGTTGTTGTTGTTTTTCCGATATCTTTGTTCCGCCCTGCGCGCACAGACAGAACAGATAGGACAGACAGGACAGCACAAACAGACAGGACAGCGTAGAGAGAACAACAGAAAGGCAGATAGCACAAACAGCAGGCTTAAGGGGCTTGGCGTGGGGCTTGGGCGGTCGCCTGGTTGACCCGAGCGTTTCAGGGGGCCCCTGTTCACCTGGAACCGGTCTCCACTACCACAAGATGCGGAACATCCCTCTCACCCATCCGGCAACATCCGCTCCCGCCCGACTCCCTCGTCCCGCCGGGCCACGTCTTGGCCTGCCTGGCCCCGGAAGTCCGCCTCCGCACCCCGCAGCGCGCTGCTGCCGAAGGTCCAGTCCTCGCGCCGAGTTCTGTGCGTGGAAATGAAGGCATGGATACATCTATGTATGTATATACATATATATCTATGGTACCCCTTATGAGTTGCGACACACTTGTAGTTGTGGTGTTGTCTGACATGGAGGCTTGAATTCAGTTGGGACGGATGTTCCAGTCAAACGCCGAATCCACGACTTCTGGGTGTGTATGCGTTCGTTTGTAAATCTGTGCATCTGTACAATGTGTATGGTCTACACGTCCAAACATCTAGACATATGGGTGTGTCTTTTCTAGGCAGCAGACCCGCAGAATGGCCACGGTTTTCTCTTTTGGTTTCCCTCTAAAACCAGCCAGCAAAAATGATACTGAGCCTAACCACCCTTTTTGCAAGAAAAAAGATAGAACGGGGGTAACAACCGACTCACTTCCTGAGCGGACTGGCCCACGTAAGCTCAAACTCTTCATGTACCACTCAAGTGGCCCAAACCCCAAAAAAATGTGTTTGTAAACTCCATGAACTCAGGAGAGGTGAGCTCCTCGCCCCAAAGAAAAAAACACAATCCGGGCCGGGACGGCGACTCCGAGTCGACCTTCGCTGGGGCCGGCGCCATGCAGGCGTAGGCCCCCAGGATCCCGTTCACCGAGGAGGCCTCCGCGGGGCAGTTGTACCCCGTGGAGCCGCCTGGAGCGAGCGAGCGCGCGAGCGCGTCATGCGAGCGACCTCGCGTCACCGGAAAGCGGAGGTCTGCCGGTTGTTCGGGGATTAGGGTTTGGTGCAAGTCCCGCAAGTCCATTGCGGGGATCTGTGTTGGGGTTGAGGGGTCTGCAACTTGGGTCAATCCAGCCTTTGGGTCGGTTTGGTGGTTGTTTGAGCTCCAATCTGGCTTTTGGCTTGGGTGCTTGTTTGAACTCCGGATTTGTGACTGTAAAACCCAATGCTCGAAGAACGTGTGGGAAAGTCGGCTGGGTCGCGAAGCGTTGCCCGGGTTGTCCCCCGGGGTTGGACTAGCAAAAACATACTCGCACTGGCTATCGTTATTTTTCCTTGCAAAAGCCAGTAAAGAAAGTGGTCGAGGTGCCAGAACAAAGCGATGTCTGTCAAAACAAATGTGAACTCCTGAAGCAACGCAGCCCAAAAAGCTTGTGACCATGTCTCTCCCGAAATCCACCTTTCCAAGACCTATTGTTATCCGGCCATCTGCGGGCGTCCCCAAATCAAATTCACTACAACTTATGTCAAAGGAAGGCCATTAATCCGATCGAAGGGCGCTTAGCGACGAACCAAGTGCTCGACCCGCGAGAGACTCTGCCTGGCCCCCGGCAGGTGGCCCCGCCGCGGCTGCCGGCGTTGAAGCAGCGCCCGCAGCTGGAGCAGCCTTCCGCGACGCGACGGCCGGTTTGGGGGGGGGGTATGACGGACACTTAGGGTCTATTTTGCAACCTTCTTAGGGTATTGGTTTGTTAGGGTTTCAGGCAAAATCGACTCTAAGTGTCCATGGCAGGGGGGGGGGGCCCTCGTTTGTTTCGCTTTCGGAGGACAAAAATGGATACATCTCATAGAAAACACCCATTTTGGGTTGTTTCCCGGTGGTTCGAGTTGGTGGCTCTTATCGCATAAGCGCGAAATGGAGAATCACCTTCAAACAAACCCAAACCCAAGTTAACACACCCCAATGTCCTGCTTGAGGTGGGCCCAATGTCCTGAAGTTGGAAGCTACAAGCAGTTGACGAGCACTGGACCTGTAGAAACGAGAAGCAGCTTGCAGACATTGAGCTAGCTCCAGAACGAGCCTGTGGCTTCAACAAGGGTTATCCCAAGCAAACCGCTCCAAATCAATGCAAATGAGGCATTGAAGGTTAGGTGCACTGATGTCATTGTGCCGCTTGACCGGTCACAGATAGCAACTACTTGTTACTCCAAGTCCTGATGTTCCTCAAGAGCCAGCTGGGTGCTCGCTTTGGCTCTGAGGCACAATTAGACAATGTTAGACTGCCAAAAAGGTCGCGACATAAACAAATCTCACAGCCGTGACATTCGGGCGGAGTTTCTTTTTGGGAGGATGTTTTGAAGGCAACCCAAAAGGGAAACCACGATAAACCCATGAGACGGGCCGCCGAGGTTGCCGCAGCCGCCCACGGATGCGTTGCTCTGCGCCAGGCTGCGATTCGTCGCACCCGTGCCAGCCTGGAAAAGGGAGGCCTCTAAGCTTCAAAATCTGGAACCCCCAATCCGACTCCGCAATCCGTAGCGGGACACACAACGACTACCATCTAACATGAGCATAAAGGATTGATTTGGAACAACCCAGTGTGAGAGCCTCTCGAAACCACAAACAGGTTCAAGCTACTTGCCAGAAGGTGTTCTTCCAAGAAGCTGCCCGTCCCGCTTGCCATTTGGTAGCACTTGGGCCGTCCACGTGTGAGATTTTTGCAACAGCCGGCCTTGCGGCCATGCTATCATACCAGCCCTCCCATGCATGGTCTGGCCAACAATCCATATGGCCATGGGTCAAAATCCCGTACCCCCAGTGAACATCCCAATCCCCACAAAAATAGACTAAAATGGGTGGTGCACCTACCCCAAAATGGTTCCATTGGTTTTTGACCCATAGCCATATTGACTCCAAAACGATCCTTTCCGTCAACCGCTTTTCCAGTACAGGATCAGGTCTCAGTCATGAGTGCCCTTTTGGAAAATAGATCGCACTGGCAAATGATTAGCATTGAAATATGAATCACGTGCTATCGATTTCCAACCAAACCGGCCTAATGAACGGGACACGTATGGCCCCCAATTCCGTGCTTATGTCGGACTGGCCCTTGCCGGGCCTCGGCCACTGGCCAGGCGCAGGCCACAAGGAACGCCACGCGCAAAGCCATGTCTCTCTCACTTTCTTTCTCGGCTTGGGGCTGTCAGTGGCTTGAGCCAACACGCCCCCGCGGAGTGGGCTGCAAATTTGGGGGGACAACACAACGATCGCCTTGATCTCCAAACGAATTTCGCGGAAACCGCACAAGCGGAAGGGTTCAACGTAGGCTGCATCTCGATTTAGTACTCTGGCGTCAAAAGCCCCGACTCTCTTCCCAAGTCTGCAAGTGCCCTGCAATGTTGTCGAAGCTTTTGCACAGCCTGCGAGGGCCGCGAAAAGATGTCCGAAGCGGCAGGCGCCGGAGGCTCCATCACAGGTGATAGGCACAAGCAAACGATATTATCTTAGCCTATGGAAGCTAAGTGAAGGTCTCTTCAAAAGGAAGATGGTCTTCCAGGTGCAGTCAGCTTCCATGTTCGTGGGACGGTAGAAGCCCATGTCGATGTGGCAACATCGAGCTTGCACGGGCACAGTGCGCCTCTCGTTCCTCTCCAGGTTCATCTGCGCGACGTGCTCCAGCAGAATAGTTATGCCTAGGCTGCAAACCGCGGGCGACATCGCTTAATTGCCTCAAGCGCTTCTCTGCTCTCCTGTCTTGGACATCGGTTCTGGGAAAGGAACCTTGAGTTGGATCGGCTTATCTACGATGCTGAGGCGGAGACAAGCGGCAGTGTGGCTCCGCAGGGTCTCATTCAGCTCACGACAGTCCTATCAAAGGCATACACCAGCCTGCCCCAAGAGGACGTGGTGAATGGATATGGGCCCCGCTTGCCAAGTAGTTGTGATGCCATGTGCAACAAATGAGCAGTGGGCAAGCGTCACTGGGTCACTATCAAGGAGGGCAGTGCAAGGGCAGTTCCATTGCTTCAAGGCTCCCAGTGGATATTCCTTGACGCTGGGCCGTCCAGTTTCAGCCCACTTTTCTATATCAAGTCTCGCTTACAGGGCTAAAAACGGCAACACGGGTGTGAGCCATCGGGTCCCAAGATCTGGGGTCCAGGCAACAGTGACCATCTGCATCCTGATCTCCCCAGGCAGCTTCTGCCTGAGTGGCCGGAAATGCATCAAGTGAGACGTAACAAACCAAACAAACCTGGCCAAAACAGGGGTCCCAGCGTGTCCAAAGAGAACAGCCAAGATGTGTTTTTCTTGGCAACTGCTGACTCAGAAGCCGCGCTGCATCGCAGAAGGTTAAAGCACTTCATGTTTTCCGGCATGGCTCAAAGAAAACACCTGGAACATATATATAGAACCCTTCACTGCTTCGCGCAAGCCGAGGCCCAGGGCCGGATGCGCAGGTCCATCGCCTGACTCAGACACCCCGACCAACTCAGCCGACCCGGCAAGCAAACACCCGTGAGCAGCAGGCCTCGAAGGGAAACCAACAAACTCAAATGAAGGGCCCCGAAACATGAAGACTGCGCAATGAGAGTTGCAGGGCGTGGTATCCTATGGGTTCTGCCTTTTGGCTTTTGACCAAATGCGCAAACGCCGGGGCAATCCGAATACTACCGGATCCTTATTCGTTCTGTTTGGTCGGATGCTCATGTGTGAAGGGGTGCCACTGACGGCCTTGAAGGATCCAAGCTTCTCCAAGAACTGCGGGATCGTCTTGCTTGGGTCCTGCCATGCATCAAGTCCATGCCGAAGCGACAGAGCGCTCAAGTAGAGGAAAAAGGAAGACCCGGGATGGCGTTTGCATTGCGTCGACCAAGGGCGCGCTGGCTGTTGAAAATGCAATCCCAGGGAAAACGCACGCCCAAAGCACACAAATATCATTTTGGCTGCGAGAACTACAGAGGCTTCTCAAATTGATGGCTTTCTTGTTGGCTCCCCTTCCGAAGACCAGCAAGGGGGATGGCTTTGACACGCGCCATGGCAAACACCAAGCAATCCCCCGGGTCCTTCACAAATTCCTTGATCCGCTCCTCTTCCGTCAGGAGGTACGTGTACCTCAGAAGCCCGCGCCTGGGGCTTGAAGCAACCTCAGGTTGGCCTTCTTGGAGTTGTAACGGAAATTCCCCCTTGCAAATGGGAATGGCTCAAAATTCAACAGCTAGGGTTGCGCAGGTGTTCGTCTTTGGCTCCATCTACCCAGGGGCAATGTTGGTACATTTGTTTGAGCCACAGCCAAATGACGAAACCCGATGAATGTCCAGCTTCTTCATTTCTGGTTTGTGACTCGTTCGGAAGCTACGAAAAAAAACACACCGGACATTCGGAAGTCTCAAAGGGACCTTCATGGAGCTTCTCTGAGGCAATGTCTCATCGTAAATTCGCACCGCCTGGCGCCATCGGGGGCAACAAGACAAGTACCTGACCTTCCCTAACAACAGCTCTCCACCGGAAAGCCATCTTGAAAAGCAAAACCTGCAACTGGACCCAAGGTTGCTTCTCTGAGTGGGCCAAGGCAAGATGTATTTCATGCCTGCAATCATTTGACTGCTGCAAATTGATTGCTGTTTCAGTGAAGAATGGACATTTACCGCACAGCAAGTGAATCTGATTGCTGTTTCGGGCTTCTGTCTCGAAGTGGTGAGGCATCCCCGCGGTCCACTATTAACGGAGTACGTTGCCACCAAGATGAAGTCAACCAACTGGAAGGGTCCCTAATTTTGACACACATACACAATGGCTAGGAATCTTAATTTGGAACTGGAATTGTTCACTCTTTCGGAGATCGCAAAAGGGTCCCACAACGGCACCCCTTTTTGAACGACCCTCACCGGTTTAATCAACCTGGTGGATTGTTTTGTTGGGGTTGCTTCCCCTCTTAAATGGGACACCCCCCAAACAAAATCATCCAAGGCTTGGTCATCCCACAATGCCGGCGTACTGCCCTATATGAGGGGTACAAGTTGTAAGCTGGGTCTACAGAAGGGTAGCTTTCCTTTTGGCTTCCGTTCCAACTCCAAATGAAAGCAGACACCCTCAAAACAACATACACACGCGCACACACACACACACACAAAAAAAAAAAAAGCACACAAAGCACAAACAATTGTTGTTTTCTTCTTTTCTTTTTTTCCAAAAGGGGTTCCCCATACCGGATAGACTTGTTCACGTGCTTCTCCGATCGACACCTCGCTGGCGTTGGCCATGTTGAACTGCACGCTGCGCTCGATCAGCTTTTCCGCCTGATCTTGGGTCTCTCAACACAGCGGGTGACGAGAAGTTGCAGGTCAGCGGTTGCCAACTGTAGCGAACTCCTGGCTGCTTTGCGCACAAATATGATTATACATATATATATATATATATATGTTGTAATATGTGTGTTTACATGGAAAGCAACTTGATGTGCTGAATCCGAGCTAGGTCATGGCGACCTTGCAGTTTTTGCTGGTAAGCGACCTGATTGACCCAATTTCAGAGGCGCTTCAATAGCAACCCCCCTGCCATGGATGCGTCAAAGATTCACGACACCAAGCCAAGTCTGAACTATCCTGAACCAGGGGCCATGGGTCAACCAAGAGCCATCAGAAAGCCAAGAGGCTTTTACCCCCCACCAGCTTCGACCCCATTTGACCACAGCCGGCCTGCTGCACGTACTGCTCATCCAGCATAGTGCCCCAGAGGGACTTTGGTTCTTTGGCCGCCCCTGCCTGGGAAGAAAGTTGGCTACACGGACAGTCTCTTGACGGCTCCTCGAAGACGTAGGGGGAAGTCAAGGTTGAGCTGCGGAAACGTGTTTTGAAAATCCATGACAAAAACAACATTGAAAGAATCAGTGGCTACAGAATGTTGAGCAGGGATTAATTCCTTGGCAATTCAGGGAAACGCAAAGTGGTACATAGCAGCTTTCCTACAAGATCACTGGTGGTTTGAGCTCAACCTCCAGCAGTCTCCAGGCACCCTTCACGCCTCTCCCCTCGCCACGCCTGAATCCGGCTGTCTGGGGAAGGGATATCGTTCAGGCACACCACAAAGTCCCGAAACCTCGGCGCAGTGCTCCATCTGATGCCAGTCGCGACGCAAATGGTGGACTGGAGGTGTAGGGAAAGGTAACTTGGAAAGCAGGCCAAGTTCTGTTTCACTGAAGGGCATGTTTGAATTATGTCCTGACTCGGGTAAAAACGGGGGGGGGGGGGGCAACCGCGCACGGAAAACGCGGTCATCTGCCCACGCTATCGACAACGCGACATTTTGGCATTCCGCGCACGTGATTTCCGGTCATCCGCGCACGGTGTCCGGTCATCTGCGCACGGTATTTGGGGGGGGCGGGGGAAAGGGGGGGGTGGTAAGCTTCGACGTTCACGCGAACCAACTCACGCACAATGGGGGGAGATGGGGCTGGGTGGATTGCAAGCGTCGGTGGGAAAAGTGGTGAGCGGGGAGGGAGGGGGTTAGTTTCGATGTTCACGCGAACCAATTCACGGGGGTGGATGGATGGTCAGCGTCGGTGGGAGGGTGGGTGGGGAAGGGGTGGGGGTGGGGTGGGGGGGGGGTGGGGGGGGGGGGGGGGAGGGGGGAGGGGGAGGGGGAGGGGGAGGGGGGGAGAGGGGGGAGGGGAGGGGAGGAGGGGGAGAGGGGGGAGGGGGAGGGGGGGGGGGGGGGGGGCTGGTACGCTTGGATGTTCACGCGAACCAATGGGAAGCGGGGGGGGGATGGGGGTGGGTGGATGGTAAGCGTCGGTGGGAAGTGGGGTGGGGGGTGGCAAGCCTCGATGTTCACGCGAACCAACTCACGCACAATGGGGGGGGGATGGGGCTGGGTGGATGGCAAGCGTGATGTCTGGAAACTCGAACACCCTTCCGGCTTGATGTCTGGAAAAAAAAACATCACTTTTGTTACCCGTGCACAAATGACCGGGCCTTGGACACGTGCACAGATGACCGCCCAACCACGTGCACAGATGAACCCCCGCCCAAAACCGGCTCCCTTCATGGGAGCCTGTCTTGAGATTACTATAACACCCAGTGAAAGGAGGGATTTCTGGGGAATCATGGCGAATTCGATGTCGAATTGAACTTGTTGGGGGAGCAATGCTGGCACTAGTCACCAGCCCTACGGATTGCAGTCAAGACAAAACATATTCCATCTAAACAAGCAGCTTGCTTGGGGTTGCGCAAACGAGCCAAGATCGAATTTGACCGCCACCCGGCAAATCTTGTCTTAGCCACTGAAAAGTGTATTCTCCTGATCAGTCCAGAATCAGTTGAGTTGCTCCCTGCCATGTTCCTCACTTGATCCTCATGTAAAACTCGACACATTGCCTCCATCCCAAATACGGCTCCCGGGGAAGATGCCGACGATATTTGACCCAACTCTACCGCGAGTTTCTTACGCTCACGGCAACGGAGAGCTGTTCAAAAACCTTCAAGACTTCCCTCAGCCCAATGACTCCACGCACTTGTTCAGTCATTTTCATGGTATCCTTTTCAGACCTGACGCCAGTGTGAGCGACTCTCTCCACATTGACGCCCTGTGGTGCTTCCAGAAAGTCGTGTCTCACAGTCCTTAGCGGGGCGGATTTCCGGGCCCCCGGGCACGCGCAGCACGCGGTCCACCACCCGCTCCGTCCAGTCCTTCAGCTTCACTTCTTCCCCTCGGACTCCGCCGATCGCTCACCAGAAAGTCGCGGGCGCTTGATGCGCTGGGGGGGGGGGTGGTTGCGCTCGCCCTTCCCCGGGGGTCACAACAACCCCCCCCCCCCCCCCCCGAAACGACCCGTTAAGGCTGTCTTTTGGGGGGCACCCGCCTAGGTTTGTGGTGTTCACCTGTGGTTCGCCTTTAAAAGCAACCAACAGGGCGTACCAACTCCAAAGAGACACACCCAATTGGCGCGCTGTGCGAAAGGTTTGTAAAGCTAGAGGGTCACGAGGCGGTCAAGGATGGCTGGAGGGGTGCCCTCACTGTGACTGGCATCCGTTCCGCTGCTTGAAACAAGAGCGAATGTCACCATGGGCTCCAAAGAGAAAAGAGCAACAAGAAGAAGAAGAAGAAAAAAAAAGAAGGTCAAATGTAAAGTTCACCCTGCAACCAAAAAGCTCAAATCGCAAGCCCAGCTGACGCTCTGATTTCCCAGCCTTTAGGCACCAGCTTGACGACCTCAGCGGCAAAAAACGGCAAAAAACGACCTCCGCTCAACACTCGACCCGGGATGGAAATTCACATGCCGGATGTTGATGTTGTGCCCCTCAACCAGATGCTTGATTGATGGGAGTGGGCTTTTTAGGAAACGCACATCCCCGAGTAAGCCAAGAGGCTGATTCGTACTAGGGCCGTTGCCAGGAAGGCATCTTGCCGCTCGTCTTGATCCTTCAACCTGATCATGGCAACGCCCCTCGCACGACTCGTCACTGGTCCAATTACTTCGAAAAATGATGTGGCGTGGCAGGGCATGAAAACACATCATTGGCCTTTGTTGACATTCGACAACTGGTCCTCACGTGTAGTATGTATATAGAGGATTCATGATCAGTTACAATAGTTCAAGCAACTTCTCAGGAATCTCCAAGAATCTGCCCGTCAAAATCCAGCAAACCGCTGCTCTCAGCTCGGTGCTGAATAACCTCCTCCGGCGTGAGCGGCCTTGGTGAATCTCAAGCAAATGCCTCGCCCGTCGCGGCTCATTCTCGGCTGGGTCAGCGGGCCCTCGAGTTCTCGGTTGGTGAAGTGTCAATTGGTGTCTCCGAAACCCTTCTGAAGACTAGAACATTCAAAAATGACAAGTGTCACCAGTCCCCGCCCAACCCCAGTATGCCACGATAGTGACAAAAAGAAGCGAAGTAATCCAAGCCTTGCTTCAGAACAATGGAGGCCGCATGGTTACTGGAATTTGCTGCAACTCCCCTGCCACTCACTGAGCGCAGTGCTTTGGATCGCTGAAGCGCTGGAAGAAGACCGTGTAAGCTTGTACCGACTGGGCCACTAAGTGCCGCGTCCTGTCGGGGTATTGCTTGCCGATAGTGAGCTCCTCTCAGAAGGAGTAAACAGGGTAAAGTGGGTCCGGCAACAGATTGTGGCACCCTTTGTCGTTGCCCCGCACAACCCTATTGATTGTGTACCCACTGACAGCCAGATCAGACAGCGAGTTAGGCCGCAACTGAACCAAGCCAACTTTCAATGTCAATCAAGGAGCAAGGACACCTGCAGTGTGACCTTCAAAGTCAAGACTTGCAGGGTGCTCAGCAGGAAATGAGGGAATGAACCGTTTTGGGATTCCCTTGAAGGAAACCACAAGGGGTTTTTACAGGGCTCATCTCCCCTGTCCGCAAACTTCCATCGGCCAACACGCGTTCCGGCCCAAGGCGTGGACTGCACTGAGAGAAGAGCGAGGACCCCGCGGAAGAAGCGACCTTCCGTGGAGCTCCTGTGCGACACGCCAGCCCCGGATTGCGCAAAAGGCATTCCCTGTTTTGCCGGAGAGCACAAGGCAATTTCAATCAATGCTGACTGGGGCATACGCGCAGTCCTGAGGTGCAGGTTCTCCTGGAAACGAAACACCCAAGCTCGTGGGCTAGCCGATCAGGCGATCATGCAGGCGAGTTTCCCCTCGGAATGTCCCAAGTACTTCACCAAACGATTCGCCCGTGTTTCAGCTCCAACAAGCTGCTTTTGGGATCGCCAGGTTCTGAGCTGCCAATACACCAACGCGCAGCAATGACCACATGACCCCTGAATTCTACTTCATCGAGCGGATGGTATGTTTCTGACGATCCTCATGGCATAACGCTTGGCGCATTCCATCCTATAGCGCCGAGAGGACAACTTCCTTGCCTTGGTTCGAGTCCGGCGCATCCCCCCACGCCTCTCTCAGGATCGCGCAAACCTCCTCGAACCACTGCGACTTGAACCTTGGGCATAGGCCAGCCGATTGGCCGTTTCAAACCTGTCACAGCTGGCCTTGATGGAGAGGTCCTTTTAGTCTAGGCTCAGGGGTACCGATGCTCAATAACTATGCCAAAGCTCGGAATCGGATAGGATCCAAATCAATGAAGACGAATGATCATGTTGCTGAGAACGTTAATGGGGAGAGAATCGGGAAACCAATTTTCTGATGGCAATTGAGTAGCTTCATTGGTCAGCTGCTAAACCTCATGGCTGCATCCAGCATCAATTGGCCATTTCCCCCAGTCTCTCAAATCCTGCTTTTTGCTTCATTTGCTGAAGTGGATCCAACCCGGGCCCAACGTCCAAAATGAATCCCAATGGTTCAAGTCCTGCTGTCCAGATCACCTTACGCCGAAGTGTCAAGAAAATGTCCCACTTGGATTCAAGAATGGAAGGTTCAACTGCCTGTTCAACCCCATCCACACCACCAGGCTTCCGCAAAAGGGAAGTAGTCTTCTGAACCTCTTCAGCAGATTTTCATGTACCGCCATGTTTGACGCGTCCAAAAAGGGCTAGCGTTGAAATCGGCTGCCCAATATTCGCAGCGGTGCCGCGCGCTACACACTGGGAGAGCGGCTTGGTGAAGACGTCATGGCAGCAAGCCTTCTGCCTATCAAAAGTCGCTTCAATTGCATCAATAGGAATCCTAAAGAGGAGATGGGTCTAAGGAGGGAAACAGGGAGGGTTGCTGCGGGCTCCAAGTGGAGAAAAATGGATTCTTAGCTTCTCCCCCCGCCCCCTTGTTGCTGTCTTGGGTGGGGGGGAGGGGGTGGCGATCCATTGGAAAGTGGTGAGTTCAAAGAATAAGGTGTTTCCAGAGTTCCGCATCCCGATACACACAATCTCCCAAGACTTGCTGCTAGAAGGAAAGCCTATGGCGGATCACAGCGCGGTGCAAGAACGCACCAAGGCAAAGTCGCGACTGGTCCCCCGTGATATGTCAACATCTCAGCCAAGCTCCGAGCTGGGCAAGGGTGTATCTATAATGGCAGCTGTGCAAGCATGAGCTTGAATGCGGCTTGCACCCCAAAGGGCCTCTTTGAGAAGAAGCATGTCTTCCTGAAGCCCCCAGTTAGGTTTCATGATAGTGGGTGAGAAGGTATCTGAAATTCAATGGTCCTGTGCGAACAATTGGCCTCAGCCGACCTGCTTGCCCGCTTATTCTGAACAGATCAAATCCTTTCCAAGCTGTTCAGCAATCGTGGCAACAGCACCGCGGAACGCCGGCGCTCTCCACTCTCGGCCCTGGCCTTTCTGAAAAATGATCGATGTCAACCTCTGCGCCATGAATCATCGACATCGTGCATCTTTCGCTCAGGGCCAGGACTGCTAACCCTTTGAAATGCAATCCTGGAGTCATCCTATTTCAAAGAGCCGCTTTGCACGCACAAGAAACTGCCAAACTCTTCCGGCTGAGGAGTAAGCCATGCTGGTTGACGGTGCTGGAAGGTCAACCAGAAGCATTGACCCATAGCCAGTGCCATACCTCGGAAGCAAGGTTGCTGCTGCAAGTTGTCCAGTATCTCCAGACTGTCCAAGAAACACTACTTCAGGTTTGTTCACACCCTTGCAAGCAACTCATCTCATCTTTTCTATACCGCCTTATAGCCACTGCTAAAACCAACAAGGTGAAAAGCATGCCCCAGCAACCATACCATACTTGGAGGCCAACTCGAATAGCATGGCGGGCATGAGGTGAGAACTCTTGCTGCCTGGGTACCAGAGGTACAACAGCCGCAAGGCCGACTGGTTGCAAACCGTCAGGGTCCGCACCTCGAAATGACCCGTAACATCTCAACTGTTATTGCCCATCTCCCCGGCACAGAACTAGGCCCAACCGGCGCCACCAGGTCCACGAATTGCCCATGTCGTGCTCTGACTCCATAGGAACACGCAGCCAATCGCCCCGTTTTGCAACTGGATGCCAGCGATCAGCTGATCAAGCTCCTCCTGCCCGCGTGAGTTGTGGTAGGAGACTGGGTCCATGAAAGTGACATCCTTAACCCAAAAGCAAGTTTGAGAACCCCTCAAAGTGTTCAGTTTAAAGGACCCGCAAATGTTCAGGAGTCCCTCCAGAAATCAGGCCGTCAAGCTCCACGTCAGGGCTTGTAGCGGATGATGGGCTTCAGTAACGCAATCCGTACAGTATTGTCCGAGCAGGCGAGGATCGCTGCATGTCGTGAAAACCCAAACCAAGTTTTAGCAGTTGACAAACGAACAAGCCAAGAAGCCAACGACAGAATAAAACCAACAAGCCAACAAGCAAAATATAACCATTTAAATGCAACCAACTCAACCAACAGCACCCACAACCACCCACTCCTCCAGGATCCGCAGCTCGGGCTCCGAGGAGAGGCGGTGGTCGCCCCCCGGCACTCGACGCAACGAGGCCTTCCCGGGGAAGACGGGAAGACGGCAACCAAAAGGCGAGTCGTAATCAAAACCTGGTGACTCAAGGCGAGTATTAAAATGATCTACCTGGCGACCAACATGATCCTGGTGACTTGAGGAAAGCTTTGGCACCCGAGTTGGGCCCTTCTCGGGCTGCCAAGCGACCCTTTTTCGGGGATGAGCCACATGCTTGGGACATGTTGGGACTGTCCCTTAACCTTCATCCCGTTCATGGCTCACATGTCGATCGTTGAAGGCCTGCACGCCGCGCTTCTGAAGACTCTCGAGCAGCACCTCCTGAGGCGAACAAGCACCGAACACCAGCTGCAAGCCCAGCATTCGGAACCAACGCAACGGGAAACGAACCCAGCGGGATAAAAGCGGCATCTCCAGCTGGTGCACTGACCCACTCGGCACCACCGACCCACCTGCACCTTGCTGAGACTGACAAAGGCAGCATCACCAGCATTTTTGGGCCAAAGCAGCATCAAACGCATCGCGGGTCCCAAGTGCTGACCCAGCTTCATTGTGTTTATCAGGGCACAAGGTGCGGGAGAGGGTCACCCGTTTCAAACATTTGTGCAACTTATCTCAAACCAAAGGTAATAACGAACACTTCTATATTAGGATTCACAACTTTGGTGTGTCCCCTGATGCAGACGAGTTGCCGAGTCTTCAATCGGCACGGCCTCGTCCTTGTCACCATGAATGATGCCTCATATGCTGAGATCCTTGCCGGCCTTCTGTTGGCACATGCTTGCAATGCACGAACAAAGGGCCTGAGCTTGTGCACAGATTCCCAAAGTCGGAAATATTTTAGGATGCTAACGGAGGACATGGATCATGCATCACCAAAACAAATGGCTCATAAACTACTTGCTGCCAAATCTTCGAAGGGTAGAAAATGGGTTCACCAGCACATGCGGTTTCGTGGCATTGGCGCCATCCAATGGGGCCTCTCGAATCCCACTTCCCAAGGTTGGCATCCAGTCAAGTCACACAGCCAAAGAAACCAACTTGCAAAGGTGGTCGGCAGCTTGAAAGCAGCAGTACAAAAAAACGGATCAACAAATGGGTGTTTCTCAAACTACGGCACCTCTGTTGGATGATGTTCCAAGGGAAACCAACAGGAAACCAAAAGAAGATCATCGCTTTTGGGGGTCCCTTTTTGCGAGAAACATCCAAATCAAACGCCTCCCGGATCAATCGTAGGGGGTCTCCCATACGCCCGGCGGCGGCAGAGGCAGGTCACCGGCACTCGGGCGGCGATGCTGTGCTCCTATCAAAAAGCTGCGACTGCATGGGAAATGCGTCCAAAGACCCTTGAAACGCGCCGGTTTCCCTTTCGTTGCCCTTTTAAGTATCCTTCAGACAAAGCCCGCTTGACACAGACATTTGTGCACCCAGATTGTTTGCATGTTTTCTACTTGGATGACAAGTATCTCCTAACATCCTACCCAGATTTGCGGATCTTTTGTGGTCCCAGCAACTTTGGCCACTCAGGGATCTCGAGCACGCTTGCGCATAACATTGATTGTTGCGAAGGGGCAGCGATGGACACCAAACCAACTTCAAGGGTGGCTGCCTCAGCTTGAAATAGGCCCTCAGACTTTCAGATGTTCCGCAGTGCCCAATCTCTATTCATGCAATGCCCCGAGTGTCCTTTAAAGTTGGGCAAGTCGTCTCTGCTTCTGATGATCTTCATGAGCTTTCATTGTGTGAGTGGGGGACCTTAGAAATACTGAGCCACAGTTCTGATTCTTCAGTCCTGCAACGTATTGGTCTGTGTGTGTGTGGCAAAAGCAAAGAGACCAGGGGGGCGAAATGTTGACTCGCAGCCAAATCAAAGAGGATCGAGATTTGTTCAGCAACAAATAGATATGGGCTCATCATGAGGGATGTGGTGCAGCTCAAATTTCTGAAACGTGTCAAGTTGGTTTCTCTAGAAAATCACTTCCAGTCTGGCATTAAATGCTGGCGAAGTGAAACCATTCCCTTGCTCATGAAGATCATAGAAAGACTGACAGTCAGCGAGACTGTCAATATGCACAGCAAACTTCCACGACTTGAGCTCCATGCAACCAGTTGGCTCCTGCAATTCCTTAGGCACCACCGAGTTGATCACATAGCCGCCGCTCGTAGAGTGCTCGGAGGGCAGGATGCAAGTGCCTGCAACACCATTCACTCAAAGCTGCCTCACCCTCTAGCATCCGGTCGGCCCTTCCTTCAACTGACTTGAGATAAAGCAAATCTGCTCGTTTCTTGGAAACGCGGGGTAAAACGTGGGAGCAAATGCGTCAAGCCATCAGTCAAGCGCAAGCAAAGCCAAGAATCAAAGTGGAGGGTGAGGGGTGCCATAGGCCAGTCCACTAACGGCACTGATCGAAACGTGAAGATTTCAATCATGGAGCCTTATTTCGTGGCATGTCAATGACGGATTCGCGGGAGTAGAAAACCAGCAATGCATCTGGAACGCAGACTCTTTGCCCATTCGCCTCCCACTAACGTGGCACCTGACAGGGGGTTCCTTGAAAAGGAAGCTGATCTTCCAGGTGCCTTTTTTACAGGTGCCTTCTGTTCGCGAGAGAGAGGGATACAAAAAGTCACAACTCTTCCCCCGCAGCTATTTTCGGTCGGCCTGAGTCGAACCACAACCACCTCCCACGTTCCCACGCGGAAAGCCGCGGACTGAGTCCTTCGAGGTTGACTTACTTCTACCCGGGTCGACTGGCAAATGAAAAAGGGAGCAAAGGGTATTGACAGTATTGACAGTGCTCCCTTCGGCCTCGCCTGGCGCCTTCCCTGGGCGCGCCCGTGCCGCCGTGGAGGGCCCGCTGGGCGCCAGCAGCAGCAGCGCCTCCGCGGCGAGGCCCGCCGCGACCCTCGGGCCGCGGCACCCGAAGGCGACCACGACCGCGCGTGGTAGATGAAAACACGTTTTTGTTTTCTTCCTTTAAAAACCTGATAGAGCCCACGAACCCGAATGCACATCACTTTGCGCAAACCAAGAAAATAATTAGAGAGAACAGTTTTCGGTATAAGCCAATGCGGCTCGCAATCAAGCCTACTGCGCCAACTATGTTTTTCAGCTTGTAAAACTGCACTTTGCGTGCTCCACTTGTTGCTACAAAGCTGCGATTTTCAATCTGGAGCTGGACACCTGCGCTTCGCGCGCTTGTACTACAAAGTTGCGATTTTCCAGCCGGAGCTGGTACTTCGCGCACTAGACTTGCGCTACACAGCTGCGATTTTCCAGCTAGAGCTGGAAGCCTTGTACTTTGCGTACTAGACTTGTACTACAAAGTCGCGATTTTCCAGCTAGAGCTAGAAACCTGTACTTCGCGTACTAGACTTGTACTACAATGTCGCGATTTTCCAGCTAGATCTTGGAACCTTGTACTTTGCGTACTAGACTTGTACTACAAAGTTTCGATTTTCCAGCTAGAGCTAGAAACCTGTACTTCGCGTGCTAGACTTGTACTTCAAAGTTGCGATTCTCCAGCTAGAGCTGGTACTACGAAGTTGCGATTTTCCAGCTAGAGCTGGAAACCTGTACTTTGCGTACTAGACTTGTACTACAAAGTCGCGATTTTCCAGCTAGAGCTAGAACCCCGCACTTCGCGTACTAGACTTGTACTACAATGTCGCGATTTTCCAGCTGGATCTAGAACCTTTGCGACGAGACTTGTACTACAAAGTCGCGATTTTCCAGCGAGAGCTAGAAACGTGTACTTCGCGTACTAGATTTGCATACAACAAAGTCGCGATTTTCTAGCTAGAGCTGGAAACCTGTACGTCGTGCGCTAGGCTTCTACTACAAGGTTGTGATTTGCAGCTAGAGCTGGACTTCGCGTACCTGTGCTTCGCGCACTAGACTTGTACTACAAAGTCGCGATTTTCCAGCTGGCGTTGGAAGCCTGTACTTCGCACGATAGACTGGCACTACAAAGTCGCGATTTTCTAGCTAGAGCTGGAAACCTGTACTTCGTGCGCTAGGCTTCTACTACAAGGTTGTGATTTGCAGCTAGAGCTGGACTTCGCGCACCTGTGCTTCACGTACTAGACTTGTACTACAAAGTCGCGATTGTCCAGCTGGCGTTGGAAGCCTGTACTTCGCACGATAGACTGGCACTACAAAGTTGCGATTTTCGAGCTGGAGCTGGAAACCTGTACATCGTGCACTGGACTGGCACTTCAAAGTTGTGATTTTCCAGAAACCTCTACTTCGAGCGCTACACTTGTGCTACAAAGTTGCGATTTTCCAAGCTAGAGCTCGAAACCTGTACTTCGCGCACTAGACTTGCGCTACAAAGTTGCCGTGCTAGACTTCTGAGCGACACGTCTGAGCACAACTTCTGATTGACACCTCTGAGCGACACTTTTGAGCGACACCTGATCAACACTTCTGAACCACTTTTTCTGATCGACGCTTCTGAGCAACACTTCTGAGCGACACCTTTTCTGATCGACACTTCTGATTGACACTTCTGAGCGACAATTTTGACCGACACCTGATCAACACTTCTGAACCACACTTTTTCTGATCGACACTTCTGAGCAACACCCGCACTTCTGATGCACTCTGGTCGACAGTTTGAGCAACACTGCTGAACCACACTTCTGATTGACACCGATGAGCAAAACTTCTGATCGAAATTTCTCATCGACAGTTCTGAGCAACACTTCTGCCCAACGACACTTCTGAGCAACACTGCTGCATTGACACTTCTGAGCGACACTTCTGAGCAACACTGCTGAATTGACACTTTTGAGCGACACTTCTGAGCAACACTTCTGATCGACACTTCTGACCGACACTTGTGAGGAACCCTTCTCACCAACACTTTTGAGCAACAATTGACACTTCTGAGCGAACTTTTTGAGCGACACCCGACTGATATCTTCTGATTGACACTGATGAGCAACACTTCTGATCAACACTTCTCATCGACAGTTCTGAGCAACACTTCTGACCGGTCTGACCAACACTTCTGATCCCACTGCTCATCGACACTTCTGAACGACATTTCTGAACAACACTGCTTGCTGAATTGACACTTCTGAGCGACACTTCTGAGCAACACTTCTGATCGACACTTCTGAGTGAGCAACACTTCTGACCCACACTTCTGATTGACGCTTCTGAGCGACACTTTTGAGCGACACCTGATCAACACTTCTGAACCACACTTTTTCTGATCAACACTTCTGAACAACACTTCTGAGCGACACTTTTTCTGGTCGATTTTTCTGAGCAACACTTCTGATCGACACTTCTGAGCAACAGTTACACTTTTGATCCGCACTTGTGCTTGACACTTCTGATCGACAGTTTGAGCAACACTGCTGAACCGCACTGCTGATTGACACTGATGAGCAACACTTCTGACCCACACTTCTCATCCACAGTTCTGAGAAACACTTCTGACCAACACTTCTGATCCACACTGCTGCTCGACACTTCTGAACGACACTTCTGAGCAACACAACTACACTTTTTCTGATCGACACTTCTGAGCAACACTTCTGAGCGACACTTTTTCTGATCGACTTTTCCGAGCAACACTTCTGATTGACACTTCTGAGCGACACCTGGTCAAGACTTCTGAACCACACTTTGTCTGATCGACACTTCTGAGCAACACTTCTGAGCGACACTTTTCTGATCGACTTTTCTGGCAACACTTCTGAGCAACACTTCTGATCACACTTTTGAGCAGCACTTTTGATCCGCACTTGCGCTTGGCACTTCTGATCGACAGTTCGAGCAACACTGCTGAACCACACTTCTGATATCTTCTGATTGACACTGATGAGCAACACTTCTGATCCACACTTCTCATCCACAGTTCTGAGCAACACTTCTGACCAACACTTCTGAGCCACACTGCTCATCGACACTTCTGAACGACACTTCTGAACAACACTGCTTGCTGAATTGACACTTCTGAGCGACACTTCTGAGCAACACTTCTGATCGACACTTCTGAGTGAGCAACACTTCTGACCCACACTTCTGATTGACGCTTCTGAGCGACACTTTTGAGCGACACCTGACACTTCTGAACCACACTTTTTCTGATCAACACTTCTGAGCAACACTTCTGAGCGACACTTTTTCTGGTCGATTTTTCTGAGCAACACTTCTGATCGACACTTCTGATCGACACTTCTGAGCACCAGTTTTGAGCAACACTTCTGATCCGCACTTGTGCTTGACACTTCTGATCGACAGTTTGAGCAACACTGCTGAACCGCACTGCTGATTGACACTGATGAGCAACACTTCTGACCCACACTTCTGATCCACACTGCTGCTCGACACTTCTGAACGACACTTCTGAGCAACACAACTACACTTTTTCTGATCGACTTTTCCGAGCAACACTTCTGATTGACACTTCTGAGCGACACCTGGTCAACACTTCTGAACCACACTTTGTCTGATCGACACTTCTGAGCAACACTTCTGAGCGACACTTTTCTGATCGACTTTTCTGGCAACACTTCTGAGCGACACTTCTGAGCAACACTTCTGATCGACACTTCTGAGTGAGCAACACATCTGAGCAACACTTCTGATTGACACTTCTGAGCGACACTTTTGAGCGACACTTTTTCTGATCGACTTTTCTTAGCAACACTTCTGCTCGACGCTTCTGATCGACACTTCTGAGCAACACTTTTGATCCGCACTTCTGATTGACACTTCTGATCGACAGTTTGAGCAACACTGCTGAACCACACTTCTGATTGACACTGATGAGCAACACGTCTGATCCACACTTCTCATCGACAGTTCTGAGCAACACGTTTGATCCACACTTCTGATCTGATCAACAGTTCTAGTTCTGAGCAACACTTCTGATCCACACTTCTGACAACATTTCTGAGGGACACGTCTGAGCAACACTTCTCAGCAACACTTCTGTTCGACACTTCTGATCGACACTTCTGAGCAACACTTCTGATCGACACTTCCGAGCAACACTTCTGTCGACACTTCCGATGAGCGACACTTTTGATCGACACTTCTGAGCGACACTTCTAATCGACACTTCTCAACGACACTTGTACTGGACACTTGCGATCGGCACTTCTGAGCGAAACTTCTGTCTCCAAATGCGCACCGCGCCACAGCGAGAGCGATTCGACCCACCTGATGTGCGCAGAAGGTTCACTTCGCATGCTCAAAATGCGCACCGCGTCACAGCGAGAGCGATTTGACCCACCCAAAGGCTTCGCATGCTCAAAATGTGCACAGCGCCACAGCGAGAGCGATTTGACCCACCCAAAGCGCGCAGAGGGTTCGCTTCGCATTCGCAAAATGCGCACCGCGCCACAGCGAGAGCGACTTGACCCGCCCAAAGTGCGCAGAGGGTTCGCTTCGCGTTCGCAAATTGTGCGCCGCACCACAGCGAGAGCGATCTCGCTGAGTCAAAGTGACGCGCTGGCCACGAAATCTAAACGCGCACCGCACCACAGCGAGAGCGATTCGACCCACCCAAAGTGCGCAGAGGGTTTGCCTCGCGTGCTCGAAATGTGCACCGCGCCACAGCGAGAGCGATCTTGCTGAGTCAAAGTCACGTGCCTGCCACGAAATCTACACCCAGGCCGCCACGCAAAATGCTGCGCCAGCCACGAAATTCAATCAAAACGCTCGAAAGTGCTGCGCCTGTCACGGAAAGGAAGCTTGCCACAGACTCAAAATCATCCAAAGTGCTGGACCTGCCACGAAATCCAACTTTGACACGTTCACGACACGCATCCAAAACTAGCACGGGACTGTGGCGCCAGAATGATTTCGACCAATGTTGACATGTTTCAGGCCCGCCAAAGCGAGCCGATTGTACGACAGGGCCAACGAAAACGGCGCCGGCGCAAACAGTATGACGCGCCTGCCAAGCAGGACACCTCAAAGCGACCACCCCTGGATCGCAAATCCCAATGGCACGGCAACGAGAACACGCAGCCTTCCAAAACACTGCGCCTGCGCAGCAAAACGACACGTCCAGCTTCGAGAAGCTACGATTCGCGCACAGGGCCAACGAAAACAGCGCTTGCCGATCCATCAAAAACACGCTTGCACGACGAATCCCAATGGCACACGCTTATCGCCTCACCGCGGACGGTTGCGAACGGTTGCGAACTCTGGAGCAACTCCTCGCGAACACGGCCTCCACCCCCAGACCCCCCCCCCCTTCGCTGCGCATTCGAATGGCAGGGCACCAGGCGCCCATGGACGCTGCCACAACCACCGAGGCTTGCGGCGCCGCTTTTGCATCCTCCAAGCAGGCGTGCAGGCTGCTGAGCTCCTGGCAGCGAATGGATGAAACTCGAAGCCAGTCGTCCAGTCTGGGCGAGTTCTACTAATTCAACCTGGGATCCCTATGAAGGAAGCTTCAGCATGGGTAAAAAAAAATCCGAGGTCGCCTATCCAATCCATGAGCAACGAGCACAACCACACAAGTTATCTATTGCCATCACGGCAACCCAAGCACCCCGGCACCCTACGAAACACCCAAAACCTCCCCCCCCCCTCGATGTGCATGATTCTGGGCAAACATCTGTTCATTGACATCACTTGCTTCTCAAGGGGGCGTTTGCGGGATGATCAATATTCCGGGCCCCCGAAAATCACCCTGGATAATTGTCTCCCAATGTAAGGGAAAGCCGCCCTTTTGGCGGTTTCCCCCAATGGTCTTCCCTGCAAATTCACGCGGAACCAGAAAAACCAGGAATAGGTTTGGGGGACCACCCCATTTTTCAAACAAAAAAAAGGTGGGCCCTCCAGACTGGTCAGCCACACTGCCAGCGCCGCCTCTGGCGCCAGCGCCTCTTCAGAGCCCAAAGGCTTTGAATACTCCACGCAGCACAAGCGGTGGCTGTGGCGGGCAGCGTAGGCCTATCGCAGAGCGACACAAAAAAAGAGAGGCTGAACGCTTGGATTGAACACCCCAAATTTGCGATAGATTGACACAGTCCTTGGGATCCGTAAAATTCATCTGATTGAAAGTGGCAGGATTGAGGTCTGTTTTGCATGTGTCCTCAAGTCTACACAACACAGCGCGCAATTGATGGGAGTGGTCTCCTTACAAGCACACCACACGATTATGGAGCTATGGGGCCTTTCCGCCCTTCCGCAAATCCATGGGCTTATTGCGCTTTGCAAGCAAAAGGCTACCCAACGTGAAGTCAGTAAAAACCGAACTCAAATCATGTGGTTAATTCGGATTGAATGGGCATCCTGCTTAACATTTTGCCTGGATTCATCTTTTGGCAAAGATTCCAAACAGCTCCAACCTGCAGAAGGGGACAAGAGTGAACTGACAAGAGCATGCCATTCAGCTGCTTCAACTTTCTTTGTCAACTGCCGTGTTGAACCAATTTGCTGACAAAGCCCCAGCGCTTCGGCTGCTCAGCCTGAACATAGCAATACGGATCGGCATGGCACGGCAAGTCTGGTTGCAATGAACGCTGCCGCTGCGTTGCTCGCCATGGGCATGGTCTTCCATATAGCCCTTTGTTAGCTTTCGTTCCTTTCTTGGCAGGGCTCTTGTCCTGGGTGTTTCTCAGGAGAAAGCGATGCACTGGCATTGCGGCACAGCATGCGTCCAGGCAATGCGTCCAGGGGCAGGTCGTGCATGTGGCACACCAATCCAGCCATGGGAGTCGAACCCCTAGCCGCGTCCCCGAAAGTGCGCCAAGTGCACCAATGAGATGCTCGTGGGCAAAGGGCACGGTCACGCCCAGTTCGTGTGCCACCAATCTTTGCCATCCACTTTCGGAAATAGGAACACTCCTCTCAATGGCTAGGCGTGCATCATCATCCAAAAAGCGGCGATTTGCTTTTTGTCTTTGGGTGTTCTTGTTGGTCGTCATACGTACTTCACTTCTTTCCCCTTCCGCTTCCACGTTTCTCAGGCTGCTTCTTTGGGCATGTCTCTGACCCCCCCCACACCGAGCCTGCAGAAACCGCTCCTTGCGGCCGCCGGGCAGGGACCCGCACCCGGGGAGGTAGAGCAGCTGGCCCTGCGTGCAGAAACTGGTCAGAGCAAGTCGAGGGCTCGCAGTTCCGTGTGGGTTCCCAAAATGGTGTTTTGCCCGCGGTGTGGTAACTTTTCCAAGATGATCTGGTGGGTTTCCAGTGGTTTTGGTTTCCAAGAAAGTGTTTGGCTCCGCGTGGTTGGTCCAACCAAAAAGAGAGTTCCCCAGGCAAGAGGGGTTCCACTACCCCGAAAAACAGCTAGAATCAAGCTAGGCTTTCATATCCAAACTTAGACTTTGCCCTAGAGGCCATCGTTGAATTAGCCGTAAATCTGAGCGCTCCAGGTTGGAACTTCCACTAGCCTGAAAACATTCACAAACCCATGGAACTAGGTCGCTTCAGTACGGCTAGGCGATGCTTCACTGATCAATGTGCAAAATAATCGGTCAGAGCAGCTGGCAGCTAGAGTGGCAGCTGAAGCTTCGGTTCACGTGAAAAGTGCCCCATGCCCTCACGAGCCCAAGAAGCTCCAACGTCCAAAGGATTGCCAGCTCAAGCAACGAGAGTGCCACACGTGGCCTGCAGATTCCTATCCGGCGAAAGTGGCTTGAAAGACGTGTATCACATGAACCCAATCCCTCCCCTACCCCCCAACTGGCCAAATATGTAGGCACTTTGCTTTGAAGAGCTTTGAGCCATCCCTTTTCTGCATCGGCTCCTTCGCTGCCATCGAAGCCCAGCGACTGCCCATGGCACTCGAAAAAAGCTGTTTCCGCTTTGGCGGATGAAAACGCGGCCAGCCGAACCCCCCTAGATTTCCTGAAATCTACCCCCTACTGTGGATGGACGGAATCCTGCAGAACTTTGAAACCATGGGAAGCCATACCGTTTGTTGGCATTTACAGGAGAATCATCATTCCAGGGTTTCTTAGGTCGTGCAGGATTCCGTCCGTCCACAGTATCACAAGAAACTCAACACATCAAGGGGTGACCTTCGAATCACAGGAGGGCAATGGGACACTCTAACCTCAGCCAGCGAATGTCTGAAGGAGTCTGCTTGAACCATGCGCGCGCCGCAGAAACCCTCCATAGAGCCTTACAACGCTCTGAGATGTGGACCGCAAAGTATTTTGCGAGCTCAAGGAACATGTTGCCGCGTGAATTATGTTGATCTCCCGCTGCTTGCAGCGTGAGTGGCTGGACAAAAGTCAATCTACTAGGCAATGTTGGTTCATTGCAACAAACAACTTCCCGCAATTCGACTGCAATTGCGTCCGGCTGCAATTACACCATCTCCCAACAAGTCCAGTTGCAACTGAGTCAAGAGCCGCCTTTCCAGAGTCATGTGCCATGTGGAAGTTGTGGTGCAATGTCTTGTCGCTTCCATGAAAGCGACGCGAAACAGGTCGAGAGCCATGCCCGGAGTTTACTGGCCCCAGTAAACACCTCTCCTGCTCTCCCAGGCATGCACTTTTTGGGTCAAGAAACGCAAAACAAAACGGACTACCATTGAAGTCACCCAGGTCAAAGGGAAGCACCAGATTCTTTGACCAAGCACAAAGCTTTTCGTTCATCCCGGCTTGCCTCGTCCCCTCCCCGAGTACGAAGCAAGGGCCATTGGTTCGCTTCCCCGGGCGGCCGCGCTATAGCGTTGCGGTTCTCCTCAATGCCGTCGCGCCACTCGTCGGGGGGACCGCCTGGTCGCTCATGCGGCTGTGAACGCTTCGGACATCTCCGAAGCGAAGGGGATGCTCCCAGTAAGTCCAACCATTCCCACAACACAAACATAGTCATGGGAGCCATGCTCAAAACTCCTTATATGGCTGGTTCCCTTCCGAGGAGCTAAGGTCTGCTCCCTGAAAAGTGGATGCCCGCGGATTCTCCGGGGGGGTGGGGGGGGGGGCTCCCCAAAATGCTCAGAATTCCCAACTAGCGCAGCCAAAATTAACCAGTAATCCGGGATCAACATTGAGATCTGAGTCTGGAACTACAGGGATGTACCCAACCACGTATTTAACGAATCAGAAGGGCATCCGCACTTGTTCGTGGTTGGGACTGTCCCTTATCAACCTTGACTTACTCGGGTTTTGATTGTCTGAGATTGATGGAAGCATCCGCAAAGAAACAGATCATGGGTGACGAGACGGTCTTGCCATTATATTCTTGCCGTCTCCTGCATCTGGAGGAGAGAGAAGATATGCGATCCAAATGCATCAAAGGAGGCCAAAAGGAAAAAAAATGTTGAAAATCCCATCCCATATTTCCATACCTGGCATTTCCCTTCTCCCATCCCAAACTAAGCCCAGCAGCTCTCCCGGCCTTCTGTACCCTCGATACCCTCGAAGGGCACCGTGCCCCAATCTGGCACCGGCCTCGTTCCCAGCTCCGTGAGGACCCTATGAGGTCACAAGGCTAGAGCTTGGGTCCCAGGAAAAGGGACGCAAAAGGACCCAAATGTTCCACTATTGTGGTTTGGTCATTGCTCGGATGTAAGTGGATGCCGCTTCATTCGCAAAGAGCCGTTCAATGGAGAAGGCCAGCTGACTTGTGCAAAATGTGTGTTTGCCCAAGAATCACTGAAACCCTTGAACAGTTGATGTATTTCAAAGGGGAGCGTTGGCGCATGGAACGCTGGATATGTTTTTTAGTACCCTTCCCGAGTTGAGCGTTGCGCTCAGCCTCTGCGACTCGTGTGGATAATGTTGCGAGTCCCTGCCTCCCAATTGACCCCCTTTTGGAGATATTTGAGCCACAATCGAAACTCAGTTAATGTTCTGCATTGTTTTGGCTGGTCATATTGAAACAAAGTTTTGATTGCGACTCGTGACTCATCTGACCTCATTTCAGCTCCCACTGATTGAATCGTGTGGGTTGGTGGTTTGGGGGTTACGGAGTTCCCATTTACCCTCTGAAAGAACGGGTTCACGTCCAAATCCAAACCACGAGTGGAGGCTCGAAACCACCAACCTGACGGGTTATCTGATTGCTTTTTTTTTTTCAGAGGTTCCAGTGCCTTCGCGGACCTTTTGGGAGTTCCCCCAAAAGAAGCTAACACGCATCCATCCCAGGAAAAAGCGCTGCTCATCTCCTTTGCTCCGACATCCAACCGAGCTTCGTGCATCGGCACGAAAGGCACCAGCGCCCGGTCGCGGCTGGCGGAGTCCTCCGGTCAGTCAAATGAACGGAACCCAAAAAAGAAGAGGCAAACACCTGAAAACTTGCCAACAAGTGAAGCTCGGGAAAATTGGATTGGCAAGTTGGCAGTCCATTGGAAATTGTGAAAGGATCAAATCATTGGTTGAGAATTGCGAGCGGGTGGAATTGCCTGCAACCAGAACCTGCAACCACGCTTCACTTGGACAATGATCCCCTATAGCGGGATCGCACTCAAGGCTTTGCATTCAGAAATGCAGCCTGTTGAAGCCCCTTGTCGTTTGCCCCTAGAGGGTGATAGGCTCAATTGGAACTCTCCCCATCTGGCAAGTCGTCAAGTACCGCGGATCAACACCAAGCCAATGCCACTTCTTCAAGGAGCACATGGTGCGCCGCGCCTTGAAAATGTAGTCCGCGATGGCGCGTTTGCAGGCTCGTACATACCTATCGCGAGTGCAGCCAGGATCCGGATGCGGTGAGCGCCGGTCCAGCTATCGGCTTAACCGGCTGAGGGCCGGGCCCAGCTTTCATCTCGCCAGTGACTTGCTCCACAATCTCCGCAACCACCTGCGTCTTTGCGTCTGCGACTGTCCGGACTTGGGGCCCAGACATGGTCGCAATGCATATCAGGCTTGGCGTTCTCTCATGGTCATCTGCAACAAGAAAGCCAGGGAACAGCCGCGGCTCACAGTTCTAACTTATTCAAAGTGGCGAATTCTCAGAACATCTGGTAGCCTACCCGCTGGAAACCCAAAGCTACAGCGCAACATAGTCAAACACCGCAAACAAGAACAAAGCATCGGCCGGAAGCCGGCCACAGTACCATACTGGCCCAAAAAAGGTCTGCATCACCATCCATCTGTATGATTCTATCATGTTACTCAATAACGCGCCATGTCTATAAACCATAGGCGTCTCTAGGTATGTGTGTGGACAGGTTCGGGGTACCAAGGAGCCATTGGGAAGTGTCCGGTTCCTCTGAGTGGCAAGCCAGTGGCATGCGCCTGAGGATTGAGAGCCGAATGGTTCTGTTTCTGGGAAGCCCAGATCTCTCACCGGATTCCCCCGTTTCAAGTGTGGATCTTCTCTTCTGTAGTGTACCCCTCCTTTCTGTCATAGGATGCCCGCTCCCCTGTCCTAAATCGCGATGGGAGGGGCAGGTTAGGGCAGGGCTGCGATCCCATGACACACCGGGATCCCGTCACGGGTTGATACATCCATATCCAAACCTCCCACCCCCAACTTCCTTTCTGCTCGCTCGCCTCTGGTGGCAGGTCCTTGAAGAGCCGATCCGCTTCCACAAGGAAGGCTGCGCGAAAGCCGCGTCGTGTGGCCCAGCGAGGGAGCCAATGCTTCTACTTTTGAGCATCACTTGGCTCTTGGGATTGGAACACATCAGAAGCACACCAGCTGTAGCTGCAGCTGGAAAGCCCCACAAACGCAATTGTTGTAGCACTGCTTGGTGGTTGGAGACTTCCCATCTGATCTGTCGCGAAGTGGGACATGAGAAATTCCCGTTGGGAAGTGACGGGTCCAATCTCATGTGTCGGTTGAAGGAATGACTTGCAACAACTGAAACCGCATCGTATTGGATACGGTGTCCGAGAATTGAAAACGACTCCAATGTTGCCCGGGCATACGGGCCCGTTGGAGAACTTCCCCAAAGCACAGGCCCCAGAGTTGCTTAAACCCACCTAAAGGTTCCCATTCAAACATTTGCCCACCCCCATTGACACAACCTGACACGGCGTTTCCTGCCGTCTCTAATGACCTGCTCCCAACCTTAGTGTTTAGCAACACAAATAACACCAGTGAGTAGAACCAAACTGAACCTGGATCGATTTTTCCCAAGACCCAAAAAGGAACACATCCCAAGGCTCGCGCCCACGTTCTCCAGCCACTCATTGTTGACGGGGGCGACCGCGCCATCGCCGATTCCCGCGTTCTTGGCGTGCCAGCGGAATGCGATCGAAGGGCTTGGACCCGGATGTGGGGAACCCCAAACTCATGGTGCTCCTCCTGGTTTCCGTGTGAAACCACCAACAGTACCCTCAAAACAGACACCCCCCATGTGCCTTTTTGGAGGGGTACAACAAGTTGTGCATATTGTGAGACAAACACGGTAAACTCTGGGATTCCCAGATCGTACATCCCACGCCTCCGTCCCGCCAACAGAAAGCGTTGAGACCTGAGGCTCCTGGCCACGTAGTAGTTGTACCGCAGCAGGCCCCCATAGAACATCCGCCTGCCGAGGGCGCCTGGGGCGCCTGAAGCCACCCGTGATGCTCCCATCCCTTACCCCCTTTCGAAAGAACCCATGGGCTATAGACGGCCTGGCCTTCCAAGCTCAAAACTCACCTTTCGGAGATTCCTCCCTTTCAAATGATGGTTCTTTGGGTTCCTTTTATAATCTGCAGGAGAGATATGATCAATTCGATTCTCCAGGTCCGGTTGGATTGAAGCGCTTCGGCCACACAGTTGGCCACGCCTGGAGACGCCAGCTTCGTTCAGCTCGATCTCCAGGGATGAGCCTGCAGACCAAACCCTCAGCACAAAGAAAAGAGTGCGTGCTAAGAAGCCCTCAAACAGCTGGACATTGCGAGGTGCTGATGTGTGGAAATCAAGCCTTTTGTTTGAGGGTATGTACTATT